AATTCAATATCAACACTAGCTGTTCTCTCAACACGTCCTGGCTTACCTTGTGGTGACAAACCCTGGATTTTCGCTATTTATAGTTTATCAACACCTGGACGCATGCGCATTTTATAGTTTATCGGGCACTTTAATCTCTAATAGTATATGAGGCAAGACACTTTGATTTCGATTTGTTTTTACAATTTGAGAAACTTTTATTATGGGTGTAGACCAGCTGCAGGGTGACGTAGTGAAGTCTTTTCTGCATGCACCACAAACAGCAGGGCGACCATACATGTTCATCCCAAATGACATTAACGGCATTCAATCATGCATCAGAAAAGACCTTTTAAAGATTTCAAATTTCAAGAGAGACTTTTTCATTTAAAATCTGTTACATCTACTTGATTGTACGTAATCAATTGAAAGAAATAAGAATGATATTGCTGACTTTTTAAGTCTGACGTAGCCAAAGCATGAAAATTATCTGGACTGCATCCTCCTAAGCAGGTATTCAGAATACGTAAGAAAGAATATATTCTGAATTAATTTTGAAGCCCTTTGATCGGAGGATGCTGGACTGTGAATATGAAATTTTTCTTTTGGTCTGCGGAGCGCTTCCTCGATGCCCCGATCTCATCACAAGGACATTTTTATGGCAACTGAAAACGTTCTTATTGTTGTGTTTTGCTTCATTCGAGCTGAGCTAAGTCGGCAGTCCTAGAACGAATTTTTTCTCAGACTCGATACTTTTTCAACGGTTTCTGATATCACATCACATAACTCTAAGCATAAACTCAATTCTTTCCTGTTTTCTGGAAGTTTAATGTTCAGTGCAATGCGTTGCCCCGGTTTTGTTTGAGAGAAAGAGAACCTTGAAAGAATTAATCTCGCTTTGTTGCCTCCATTCTCGAAGCGTGCATTTTGTGTTTCCTATTTCTTTTTGTTGTCGGTTGGCGATATATTTCAAAGAGGAGTGTATTTTTGCATTGCTTGCCTTACATTTTCTTTTCCAACGAATTGCGTTTTGCGAAGGCATATTAAATATTACAGATCATATACAGATCGTGCAAATGGAATTGAAATAAAAATTAATTATAACACAAAAACATCGTTGAAAAGCATTAATCGTTCATATAACTTAACTAGGGGTTTCGGTTTATGCTGTTTTCCATTAATAATGATTGCATCCATTGAAAAGAAATCAGAATGCAAACATTAAGGGACTTTATGATTGATTTCAGCGATCCCCGGGAATACACTGAACGAAACGTTATTTACTGAGGGTCAACTATTTTGGGCTTTAATGGTCTTCATATTACATTTTTTGTTATGACTTTTCCGATAAATTATGCTTACGGAATTCCCAAATAACTTGTCATTTGCTTGCATGTTACATATTATTGTAAAGACGTATAAAATGTAAAAAGCACATTTACAAAAGGGCAAATTCGTTAGCCGTTATCGTTTCCTTGTCTATGAGTTGAGTTTTATGCGTAATTACTGAATAACTGTTCAACATGTGTTTTAAGAATATGGGTCATCATATAGAATTAAACCAATCCATCTGGGATTTATAAAAATGGCGTATTACTGCTTTGAGTTCAATGCTATAACCGTGACGTTTTTCACGCGTGACGTTTGTCAACAAGCAAAACGGTGATTTTTCAGAATTTTTCAGATCATGCTCATTATCATTCAATCACAACTATTATCACGATTTGTAACACAATGGTCTGATAAACTGAACTGAAGACTTGATAACCACGGACATCTCGAGTTTACCTTCTGCCGTCTGGGCCTGTTTTAACGACCGTGACGTTTTTCACAGAATACATTTTACATTTACTATAATGGGTACATATAATCGGTAGTAGGTGAGAAGCAAATATACTGCTGTCAACACACTCTGACTGAATGTGTTCTATGCCAACAGAACCAAAATGAAAAGATGTGACCATTTATAAGTGAGATATGACATGTTTTCACGGGCGTGTTGTCCCGTTACATCAACAAAATTCACTAAATTCACAACTTATTCGCGAGTTATCAAAGTTATTTACAACCGGAATAATCAATAAGTATGCTGACCGAATCTAGATAAAGGCATATTATTTTAAAATACATAAAACAATGAGAAAAAATCATTTTAGTTCTAGCTATTTTCAATTACATGAAAAATACTCATTTTTAACATTTATTGGTTTTGAATGTTCAATCAAATCGTAACAGAGCGCCCAAAATTTTAAAACAGTTTAAAATTTTTTGGCGCTCTTGCCGACTATCCCGCTTTACTCCGAGCTTTTCGACGACCTATTACTACCCCGACGGTTTAATCAAGCTTTGTTACGCTTTGGTACCGCTTTACAAGCCGTTTTAAAGCGCCATCAAAGCGCCGTTGGTGCGAACGTAGCTTGAACAGTTTACATTTTTAGTGCTCTTGCCGAATATCCCGCTTAACTCCGAGCTGTTCTACTACCTATTACGACCCCGACGCTTTAATCAAACTTTGTTACGCTTTGGTGCCGCTTTACAAGCCGCTTTGAAGCGCCATCAAAGCGCCATTGGTGTGAACGTAGCTTTATACAAAAATGTTAGATATCACATTTTCAGAAAACAGTTGCCCCGGGTATTGTGATGTCGTGATACTATAGTAACCACAACTCTACCCGCATTTCATTATTTTTTCTGAAACTATACAATTTTAGTTGCAATACTTCAAAGTACAATTTGTGAAATTTGAAGACACTCAAAATTGGCAAAATGCCAGCACCCGTCCTGTTACTTTTGGAACACCCTGTAAGATACCAATACGTTCTATGGCACGTAGAATGCTGCAACACTTTAAAAAGAGTATCATATAGTTGATATAGAAGAGACTTATCAAACTTAACGGTGCATATAAAATACATTATGAATTCTACAACATCAAAATACTCTGTGAATACCGTCATTACCTCAACAGAAAGTGTTCTAAGCACGGTCAGAAATGGCGGAAATACTAACAAGAACCTTTTGTTCTCGAATGTCACAGGTCCTCTTCTTGAAACATCAGGAATTGAAGAGTTTAAAACAGAAAGCACTACAGTCATTTTAGGTCTTGTGTTCACCTCGACAAGTTATACGGCATTCTACGAGAAGGTAATGTTTTGGATTATTGGAACGCTTGGATTTTTTGGAAATTCACTCGTGATTTTTGTTTTCCTCAGGTCGCCTGCCTTACGACATAAAATCACAAACACGTTGATATTAAACCAAAGCGTGATTGACCTTTTTGCATCTATCTTCCTTGCACTCAACAGTGAATTCGATGACATGGGATGGATAAAGGAACCAGGACATTTGGCGTATTATTTCTGCAAACTTTGGCTATCTAAGTACTCGATATGGGGAACGGTGGTAGTTTCCACGTTCAATCTTGTAGCGTTGACTATTGAGAGATATTTCGCCCTCATTTACCCAATGTCATACAAGCGCTACTTTACAAGGACGGGGCTTCGTGTAACCATTGGTATTGTTTGGACCACTGGCCTCGCTTTCATGAGTTTCGTCGTTTGGACCACAGAGTTGAAGGGAACAGTATGTTCAACATGGACAGAATGGCCGAGTCAGATGTTCCAAAATGTTTTCGGAGTTGTCATCGTTTTTATTGAGTTCATCATTCCTATTTGCATCATGACATATTGTTATGGCAGAATAGCTCTGATGATACATAGAGAAGCCAAGATGGCAGACGCTTCTCAGCACAGAGAGCAGCAGATGTTGAAAGCAAGATTCAACGTGATTCGAACGCTTCTCTTAGTGTCAATATGTTTTTTCATTTGCTGGGTGGGGAATATGATATTTTATCTCCTCTTCAGCTTTGGAATAATTCCTGTCACCAGTTTTACTAGCCCGATATACCAGTTCAGCGTTGTCGCCGGTTTCGCCAATTGTAGCGTCAATCCCTTTATTTATGCGTTCAGCTTTAAAGCGTTCCAAAAGTGCGTGAAACCAGCGTTCTGTTGTAAAGGGAGAGAGGAGGGCCAGTCTCTGTCTGGGATTGGGAACTCACGGATGGGTAGCTCCGCTACAGTTATTTCTGATGACAATGTAAAAACAATGGCTGTTGCTAAAATTTAATAATACGTGATAGTCGAATACATGGTCATTAACATAGGCCTAAATATCTCCCGCTTCCGGTAACAGATTCGGAGACGTCACGCTAAAACATCTCACGATTATCGTCAGTTTCGAAAAGTATTCGCTAAAACGCTTTGTAGGTTGTCATAAGGACATGTATATTTTTATTGATAGTATGCATATTCCTATGAAAGTTCATGCTTTTCAACCTTTTCTATTAAAATTACCAGCTGAACGAAAGCCGACAAATCATTGACCATTGACTGACCATGTTTGAATTTTTGCGCTATTTGCACAAAAAAGTATTTGAGCGCCGTCACCATTTCAAATTAATTTAAGCAAGAAAAGTTTAGTTTAGGCAGTTTTTTTCAATATTTCGTAAGTATACTTTAAACTGAGTGAGTTGTGGTAGATATTTTTCTTCACACTATACTTTTTGTCGATCCAATATCGGATCTTTGAAAAAATGCATTACCTCTAGGAAAAACACACCTAGAGATGATAAAATAATTTCAACTTTGAGACAGGGAAGATGCAAAAGTCGAAATTATCTGATCATCTCTAGGAGTGCTTTTTCTGGAGGTAATGGATTGGTCTAACGTATGCACCTATTTAAATCCTCAGAAATTAGCCTAAATCCAAAATATAACTGTCCGAAATCTGTTGCGATGCTTTCCCTCCTCCTTTGCGTCATTTAAACTTTCAAAACAACCGAGAGTGATTATTTTATTGGTCATCCTAACCATACCCTTGAAAGTGACTATGCTTGTCAGGAATACGTACAATGGTAGGTCAACTGTACATGTTGCTTGCAATCGTGTCACCCCCTAGATCTGATTCTGCCTTTAAGAAAATTATGTGGATTAAATAATAAGGTATATGGTTCAAATACATACCTTACCTTAAGTTGACAACATTCCTTATTTCTACATTTAAATGTATTGTAAGGGCAGTCCTTCTTTTCAGTACACTCCTTGGATCCGGGATATTTTAATCGACCATTTTTACATTTTAATGATTTAGCAACCAGCAACATCATTGAAAACCATAATATGTAAAACGCCAATTGATACGTTATTGTCATTGTATTTGGCTCACATGTGTATAATTCCAATTCCTGCTTCAAAATGAACGTGATGTATATTATATTAGTACATGTATAGCAATTGTTTGTTCAGATGTAGATATAAAGTAGTAATTATGTATCATATATTGCTCTAATATTGTTATTTAAACATATATATGCGATAAATCAATTAAATTAGAAATACAAGTACACATGCACATGTATGCACATTTAAGCCAACAGGAAATAAACCCTTTCAAATCAAGTTGCACATGGAAGGAAATCTAATCGTGGTAACACAATAGTCCTTGTTATTATGTCTATCCTGAATTTAAATAAAATATGAAAATGATTCAGTTCAGATTCAGTTCTTTTGATTAAATGTATTTTATCTTTTGTGGAATAATATAAACGTAGAGAGTTATATTATGATGCTCGGAAAATTGATATTTATCTTCCTTCAAGACTGTGAACCCCTCCCCGACACTATCTACTTCACCAACATAACCTGCACGTTGTATAAGTAGATATGGGGTCCAGGGTTTTGAACCAAGGCTAGATTGACATACTTGTATCTCTTATCCATTTAATATCATTATCATATCATCATAATTGACTTTTCAATTGAATTATGAGAACATTTTTGATCATTTTTTTCTTTTTAATATCTTTGATTAAGAGGTTGACAGATCCTTCGACAAGTCTAAGTTTTTATATTTGATGCCTTTTCTGGCGAATTCATATTTTAGAGACACGTGTGGGTACTTTTGAGGATTGATCCACTGTCGAGATACAGATTCATTTACCCCAGATTTATTGTGCTTCCTGTAGCATTTCTTATGATGATGCTTTTGTATAAGTGGTACCCCTTCCTTAATCCAAAGAATTTTCTCTTTGAGGAATTTCCCATAGTATTCCAATGGTATAGTTTCAAGCAGATTTTGAAATAACAGGAAAGATAATCACTAATACACACCTTATTGGTGTGTACTAGTTACTTTGGTTAATATCACAATATTTATGTATCGTATATTATTTCCCTGTCATCAGCTAATTAAGCTAAGTGTGAGATCAAAGCACTAGTTTATAGATCCTTAAATACTAGTAAACTGATATCATGCATTACGATAATTTAAGACACTCAAACGCAACCATACTTTTACATCTGCTTCTACAGGGTGTCCATTTTTAAGAAGTTTAGTTTTGAAAATAATTTTTTTGACTTTTGAATTTCAAGCCATTTCAATAATTAAGTCAAATTCATATTTTATAACCCGCTTCATTTTGGAAATTACAGGAAAGTAAATGCTTTGTGTCTTCGGTAGGCCATCTGTTGTCAGTGATTCCAGTGAAAACATGAAACTCTCTTTCCTACTCAACAAAGATTTAATGCGTTATTAGATTAATATATTGAAACCTAAACATGCGTCGTTAATAATTAAACACTTAAAACATATGTCAGACTAGACGTCGTGTTTCGTGTGCAGAAATACCTTAAAAATACAAAAAAACTCTTGAAACGAAGCAACTTGAATGAACGCGAACAGCAAAAATACATGTAATTCAACAACGACAAAAGTATCCATGAATACTGTCAATACCACAAAAAGCACCTCTCTAAAAACGATCAAAGATGACGGAATTGCAAACAAAAACTTATTAAAAATGGATGATTTCTCAAATGTCACAGATTTCAACCCTTTTAGTATGACATGTGAAGAGTTCTAACAATATAAAAAGAGAGTTACATAGTTGATATCGAGCAGTCTCATTAATCGTCACAAAACATGCACATTATGAATTCAACAACATTGAAACCATTCGAGAATGCTGTCCATACGGAAACAGGCAGTGATATAAGCACGGTCGGGAATGGCGGAAATACAACTGAAAACGTTCTGTTAACGAATGCTTTCTCAAATGTCAAAGGTCCTACTCTTGGCACATCAGGCGTAGATTGGTTTTTAACAGAAAACGCATCAGTCATTTCAGTTCTTGCGTTCACCTCGACAAGTTACACAGCATACTACGAGAAGGTAATGCTCTGGATAATCGGAATGCTTGGATTTTTAGGAAATTCACTCGTGATTTTTGTTTTCCTTAGGTCGCCTGCCTTACGACATAAAATCACAAACATGTTGATCTTAAACCAAAGCGTTATTGACCTTTTGGCATCTATCTTTCTTGCACTCAACAGCGAATTCGATGACATTGGATGGATAAAGGAACCAGGCCATTTGGCGTATTATTTTTGCAAACTTTGGCTATCGAAGTACTTAATATGGGGCACAGTTGTAGTTTCCACGTTCAATCTCGTTGCGTTGACTTTTGAGAGATATTTCGCGCTTATTTACCCGATGTCATACAAGCGATTCTTTACGAGGACAGGGCTTCGTATTACTATTTGTATTGTTTGGACCACTGGCCTCGCTTTTATGAGTTTCGTTGTTTGGACCACCGAGTTGAAAGGAACAGTATGTTCAACATGGAGCCAATGGCCAAGCCAGATGTTCCAAAATGTTTTCGGAGTTGTCATCGTGTTCATTGAGTTCATCATTCCTATTTGCATCATGACATATTGTTATGGTAGAATAGCTCTGATGATACATAGAGAAGCCAAGATGGCAGACGCTTCTCAGCAGCGAGAGCAGCAGATGTTGAAAGCAAGATCCAACGTGATTCGAACACTTTTCTTAGTGTCAATATGTTTTTTCATTTGCTGGGTGTGGAATATGATCTTTTGTCTCCTCTTCAGCTTTGGAATAATTCCTGTCACCAGTTTTGCTAGCCCGATATACCAGTTCAGCGTTGTTGCTGGTTTCGCCAATTGTTGCGTCAATCCCTTTATTTATGCGTTTAGCTTCAAAGCGTTCCAAAAGTGCGTGAAACCAGCGTTCTGTTGTGTCGTCAGAGGGAGAGAGGAGAGCCAGTGTTTGTCTGAGATTGGGAACTCACGAATGAGTACCTCTGCTTCAGTTATTTCGGATCACGACGTAAAAATAATTCCTAAAACCGAATCGCATCAAATCTGAAGGATAGTATACCATGAGCGCTAAAACTAACTTAACAATAAACAGTACACATGTACGTGTATATCTTTATATTAGAATACGTTCTGTTATGGTGTATTTTGCATCTTTCTTACACAAACAATACACAATATACAAACAGAACCATCTATGTGTCAAAGAAGAAGAGATGCCCAATGTTTGCCTTAGGCTAGGAACTCAAAATTAGTTCCTCTGCTACAGTATTTTGGATCACGATATACAGGGTGACCAGAAAAAAGCATCCTCCTAAGCAGGTGTACAGAATCCGTACCTCCTTCTTCCCCCTGCTATAACCAATTTGGAAGCGCCCGATTTAACTGAATCACGTGCGCAATGACTAATACATGATTTCTGTCGCAGAGTTGCAATGTATATAGGTCAATGTATGACATTATGTAAAAGTGTAAAATGTCTATCTTCTACCATTTTTATTTGATGATTATTTCAGAACATGCCCCATATGTGCTCCCTGGCACTAAAAACAAAGGAGTGGTATCGATATGGTAAACTTTTTGAACACGCGTTTCTCCTAAACCAGTCATCAAACAATCTGAAATGTTTACACATCGTCAATTTAATGGTAATCTTTTGGATGGTAACATAATAATTTGATATATATTTATATAGTTATATATCCTTTTCTCTATATTGTTTTAGAAAACGCATCAGACACTCCTTTTGTAATTGGTATCATATGTTTTTAATGAAACATCTATCCAAACCTCATTGGAACAAAACGACATAAACACAATGTGTTTAGGTCTCTCAATACTGTAATTGTACAAAGGAAAGTTTGGTTGATTTTAAAAAAGTATCTTGTTAATGATATAAAAGGTTTATCTTATAATTTTTATCTATTTGGGGGGGGGGTATTTTAAGTTTTTGCATATTTTTTGTTCAATCAATGAGTGCTCAATTAGCGTTAAAATGCCATGAGTACTGATTTAATCACACTATTTTTGCCACACTTTGCGAGAGAGTACAATTTCACAACACGAGTTTACGGTCATCGAACGTAACTTGCCAAATTCTAAGGAAAGTGGGGATAAGGCCATTACGATACAAGCGACCTGGTAGATAATGATGAAGATTTAGATATATCGAGGGAAGAGAGAACTCCACTAAAATAGAATGAATTATTGCCACGTCTTTTTAAAGAAAGGCCATATCTCTACGAACAAACAAATTTACATTTCAAGAGTAGACAAAAGAATGATGATGAAATAGGAGATTTTGCTAATAGTATTGGATGGACCGGTATGCATAGTTATTTTTAAAAATAAAAAAATAAATTAATTTGGAATCTGTATCTATCTTTAATGAAAATATTACAATAAATCAAATTATATGATAATTTTCAATAAATTAATATGAAGTTCAACATCATAATGTTATAAAATGTGGTTTTTATGCCTGTTATTTTCGCAGATAAGTGATACTTTCGATAAACTACATTCATAAAATATTGAATTAGTTTTGAAATATTCAAAGTTATGTACCTTGTTTCTAATACTGTAGAAAATGCAAAGTAATCATGATTGCTCTGTTTGGTAAATAATCATTGAACAGATTTAATAAAAAAAACGAGCCACTATAGACTTTTTCATGCATTTTAAAAGTAAGCTACAATTTCGCCAAATATTCGTGAATCGCATTCTCTTTACGAGATAAAACAGTTCTTTCTACTACTTGAAAAATACCTTTAGTTTTTGTGCATGTTCCGTAATGCTTATACAGCATTTATCTATTTTCTAAATCACTAATTGTTCTTGGTAGTACTTCTTGGAATATGAATGTCAAAGACAAAAACAACTTAAAATTGTTGATTATTCGATAAAGCGTAAATAAATCAGATGATATGATTATTTTCAATAAATTAATATGAAGTTCAACATCATAATGTTATAAAATGTGTATATGTACAGCTCATATAAAGACATGTCTATAGTCAATGCAGAATGATTGATTTTGGTAACTGAAATGAAACAACAACTTTAAA